TACTTATGCTTCATATTTGATGCTTTTGTTTGGTCTAATAGTCTTCTCCCAGCCAATTTGCTCAAATAGATTTGTCTCCCCAATAATTCGTACATTTTAATTCAATCTATAATAGTGGAATAAAAGAACTTATAGGGAGCTATCATATCTCCTAGCCATTAATGAAAAGGAAACTCTAGAGGTGGCATTATAAAATAGGCTTACAATTGTCCCGCTACATTTCCAAGCAGAATAGATAGGAACTATCTATCAATCTAAATCATAGTCGTTGATTCTCATCTCAATACTGTTAAATAGTGAGGGAGGCCTTAGATAATAGATTGCTATTGTTCCATCGAGTCCATGGGAGAGAGTGAGCATAGAATGCAACTATTCTACCTTCCATTAGAAACATAGCAGAAAGCTAATGAAATTGAGAGTAGCTTGCAAAATAAATCAAGAATTGATATATATTAACTCTTCATACCTATACTGAGGTGCGAGGCATGAACACATTAAATACAGTTGGATTCATTGCATGTTTGTATAAATGAAATGGACTTCTTTCATTACATAGTGTGATGTAATAAGTATGGAAGTATAAGATTCCTTCATGGATCTTAATAATATTTTTATAATTCATACGAATAAAATAAATAATACTAAGTGAAGATATGAAATGATGGTGCCAATAGATAGACATGAATTTTAGAGAGAATTCCTCATAGAAGGTGGTTGACAACACTACTTGGGAAAATTGACATATTATGAGGAGATTGATGAGTATCAAGACTCTGTGTCAATACATATTTTATAAAATATGGCACACATCATAAATAAACATGGATGACTTATCGTCATTACATAAATAAATGATCTATGCATAAATAACAAAAAAAAAGAGAGTGAAAACATGACAGTAAGACAAACCGATATGATTGTTTATATGCAGTCTACTTCTTAAATATTTCATATAATTGTTATTATCAATAGATCCTTCATATTAAATGAACACTGAATTTGCTAGGCCATTTTGTACATGCTTTGAGCCAATTTATTAAGTAATACTTTGTTGTGTTTGGAATCCTTCATTCGAATTTTAAATTTGTTGCAAATCCCTAGGTGAGGGGTACACACAAGATATAATAAAAAGAGAGAAGCTCTAACCTGACATAGCCAAGAAAATTTCAAAAGGAATTCGGCCAAATTGTATAGTCCAGATAAATTAAATAAAATAGTGTCTCGAAGATACGTTCATGTTAGTGTTGTGTTTCATATGTCATTTCAATCATTGGATTCAACCACAAGTCAAATGCACATTTTGCATTAAACAAGCTAAATTAAATTTTAAACATTACCATCAAGTTTTCTTTGGCTATTCTTATTTAAATGAGTTAAGTAGATCATTTTCTTGCTCAAAATTAAAAGGACATGCGATATCCAAACAAATCTACTTTATGTCATACGGATAAACTAAAAGGTTTATCGGCCAGATTTATGGTGACTAAAGATTGGCAAGCCTTCAACTTTAACCAATCAAATTTTGGGTGTGACATGAGGTGTTTGAACCATGCAATTAAAGAAACAATTAAAGTGATGCTTGAAAGCTTCTCGAAGAAAAAATCTAAGTGCAAATTTGCTACCTGACCACCTAAGAACATAAGATGCCAGTATGCATGCATCTTAATAATTTCAGTAGTATGTGATTTTAAGAATCTATTCCAAATCTACAAAGAAATGCTACTGGATTTTGCTTTCTCTTTAATGAGTAGCTTACTATACACATTTTAAAATTACGAGACTATCCCAACAAAGCAAAGGCAAGGAAATTCTCAGCTTCACTTTGGACTTGACCCAAATAAATTAGTTAATGAAAAAAGTGGTTACACTCAAAGGAAACAAAAGATGACCAAAATAAAAACACAAAAGGATACAAAATGATTGATAACTAGATATCCTTCTTATCCTCAAATTTGAATGAGGTTGTTGGCCACCTTTTTCTTACACCAAAGAAAAAACTAAATCATTACTAACCTTATGTTTAATAGCTTTTGTGACTACCTTTGGCATTTTCTTTAGGGAATTATAAATCAGATTTTGTTATCACCTCCTGTTACAAGTGGGAGAGTATTGCATGCATAAGGGAATCGAATTCCAACTACATGATATACATTTTTTACCTCATATTGCAATTTTGCCTCTTCTCACTCTTGGCAGTAATTACTAATATCTAAATTGCATCCAATTTCTCCTCAGCATTAGGTCAAATGATCATATGACCTCTAATTTAAAATTGAAGAATCAAACTCTTTCTCCATGGTTTACTTTATTATCTTGATTTTGGTTTCATTCAATTCACATTGGAATGAACCTATTCTGTACATAACCTAGACGTGGTTAAGTTGGACAAATTATATCTCCAAAGAACCCAAGAAATTCAATCAACATTTCCATATTAACTCTATCATTTAATACTAAGTTTAAACACCTACATTAATCTAATCCCTACTCAAAACCACAAATGGACGAGCAATTCTAATAAGAAAAACACAACTATTATGTTATTCAATGCACTAAAACCCTTGACTTGTGCAAGCACTTTTCTAGATCCAGAGAAAGCCTCTAAACCCGTCAACAACATTCTAAATTAAATGGTATTAAATTATTTAAATTATTAGATCATTGCAGGTTCAATCCCAACTATAATTAAATTTACATCCTATAAACCATAACAAATAGAAATCACAAAATTCTAAACCAAAAGGAGAGCTTCTTTGATCAACAAATATAATTTGGAAGAGAGATTATTAAAGATAAAGCTAGTAACTATTAGCAAGTCACCACCTTCGTTGAGATTGAAATGCATGGTCCTCAAGAAATATTGCTAGGGCTAGCCATAAAACTGTCAAAAGGGCAATTGAACAAAAAGGAAAAGAAAGGGAAAAGAGGAGACAATCAAGACTTCAAATGCGATTCTAGCTGATACACATAAACGGATCTCTAACATATTGAACCCCACATATCATGCAACTACAAATGTGGACGGTATGAATGCATAAGAGCTCAAAGTGTAGCCAAAAGGATTGTATAGGTATCAAATAGAAGATATGTGACAAAAGAGGACTAGAGCAAATGAGATAAAGAAGATGGGAGCTAAAAGACAGGCAAGAGAAAATTGCTTTATACTTGGCTTCTACTCTTATAACAATCCAAACCCTGCTCAATACCAATATTAGTGAAAACTTCCAGCAAGAAAAATCTACTATTTGGTTTCTGACAAATCATAATCCCACATAATCCAAATTTAAGGTTGAGAACTATTCCACTATTAATTTGGGCCAAGAAATCCAAATTATGACTCGAAAATCTCTCCATCCTAATTATAGATCATTTTGTGCTATTGATTAGATACCCTTTGGGATTGATCATTTGCATTGCATTTTATGGAATTATAATTATTGACATGACACTATAATAGGTTAAATATAATTGGCATATGTAGCATAAGATGACAGAACTGACGAAGTATTGCCCATAATTGAGATAAAAAGGTCGGAGCAAAAGAACTTCCCTCCATAATAATTAAACTGTTTCAACAATCAAGTTCTAAGATATAGAGTTAAGAGGTTTCATCGCCAAATTGGTTTAGACCAATAAAAAAGCTTAGTAGGATTTCCTAGGCATATTTTCTTCAACCTACTTGTCAATCTTGTTAAAAACAATAAATCTAGATTTGCACTTCATACATGACCTCACCCATAAAAAAAGAACATCCTACGATTAAACAAAAAAAAGGCATATTTATTTAACAAAGCTCGCCCTTGATTCAAACCAATCCTTTTCTCCTTTATTTGAAACATAATACCAATGTTCACAGCAATAAGATGTTAAGATTATTTCAAAGAACCTATCAAATTGGTATTGACCATTTCAAAAAAGGGTTAACAGTACATATACATCAAAATAGTCTGATCTATTGGATACCAAAAGTTGCTTCTATCTTGCAAATAATATAACGCAACCAAAATAAAAACTCCAACCAATTGTCTATTGCAAGTCCAAACAAAAAATTGATATGTACGAATTTGCTCATAAAAAATGTTTAACTAATATAAATGCAGAGATATAAAAACAACTTGAAGATTTAAACTCAAAATTTGACTGCTAATTCTTTACAAAACTAATAGCCCCGTCTTATAGTATAGATCATACAACTACCTATGAAATGGGCAGCAAGCAACATGATGCCAAATCCATAGTGACTAATGTTAGAAATAAGTGAAAAAAGTAAGCAGCAATATAGTAAGCAACTGATAAGAAATTTCCATAATTTTTGGATAATCAAGGAAATATTCCACCAAGAACATGCAACCTCTTCACAATCAAATTAATAAAGGTGCATGCAAAGACTTTTTAACATGTTATAATGCATTTTACAGTTCAATGGTTTCAAAACAATTTGACAGATATAAGCACAACTATTATTTTTAAATGAAAATTGAAGTGTCCACTCAAAAAGAAAAGTAAACATAAGCCAATCCCTCCGCCATCCATGTGGCAGCTAATGTGTGAACATACTATTTTAATCTACTGAGTTTTCTTAAAATATTAACTTCTATGCCTTTTAATATGCATTCATCTTAATTCACAAAAAAAAATGATGAAACTGTTTTTATATCAAAATGAACAAATTAAATTAACAAGTGAAACAAACATAGCACTTCAATTATTATATAAATAAATCTACTTGGTTTAAAACAGAGGGGACTTATAAAGTTAGAAATAATTAGTTAAGATAATAAGCTAGTCAAACAGAAGAAATATTAAGTAGATTAAAATAAAAATAGAGACCATATTAGTGGGCACATGGAGGGTAAAAAGGCTGTAATTTAATTGTAAACTCTTTGGCGAGAGAAGAAGCATTATTCTTGCACAGAATGCAGTCTATGCTAGATTTGCCATACTACAAATTGCAGAGGTGAGAGTGCATTTATAAGGTAGAGGAAGAAGAAATGGCATACCGTATGCTTGTTTGACCACCTGAATCACAAAACATGAAAAACAGGTTAATTACTCAAGCTGCTGGTATATTAGCATATAACGGTAGATATATTAAGAAAACACTCCAACATAATTTTTGCATAATATCATCTAGAAAATAAAAATTTTATTATGACTTTGGCTGAGAACAACAAAACCAGGAACAGCCCAGGGAATATGAAGAAAAATAAAAAAATAATAATAATAATCCAACAAAACTAAATGTTTCCTGCTACAGTTAAATGGCGTGCGAGAATTAATATAGATCATTATCAATCACAAAAAGAAAATCTGATAAGAAGAACAAACTTAGCTTTAAAACTTTATACTCCGCCATTTTCTCATTTTATCAAGTACGCAACAATAGCCGACCCAACTTAGCAGGATAAAGGTTTGTTTGTTGTTGTTGTAGTATCAAGTACCCAACAAAACAAAATTTAGTAGCTTTTCAATTCATAAGCAGATGTGGCCCCATGATAACCATCAACTCCCACTTATCCTAGAATAACAAAATCCGGGCATACAAATCTCCTTTATAACAACTGATTATTCTTAAAATTTACCACATTAGATAGAAATTGGAGCTGAAATATAACAACATTAAATTAGTTTATATAAGGTATATGATTGAGCATGAGGCTTCAGCAATGTAAAGTCATGAAATTGTGCATGTTCAGCCTTAACTGAGATAAAGACGCCGTTTCAGATTTATCCCATGACCTACCTACACAATGGCGACAATCTAAGCACATCTCTATGCCAATTCTCTCAATTATTAAGATGTTATCATGCTAACTACAAAATTTTCGAAGAAAGCAGCTTATTACAGAATATCTCTGAGAACACAAATTTATAGTAGTAGGATTGATACTGTTTTTTTTATCCTACATGCACATAAAATATGTACCAGTGCTGATCCTGAGGAGATCTAACGGTCTAGAAGAAAAGAGTATGAAGGAGAGCCCACCAACAAAAGACTATGAGGCCCACTTGTCTTACCGAATGAAATTGTTATAGCCAAAGCCAATGAAGCCAAAGCTGACCAAACCACAAAATAGACCAAAGAGGATCAAAGGATACAAGAATGAGCTATTAAGACAAAAATGAGACAAAAGACATTCGAGTAAAACGTCCCAGGAGAGCATATGCAATGAAGATTTGGTCCTCTATATCTCCAACCATCCCAAAGACGCCCAAAGACCCCTCGACAGTAAGGCCATACTAACCGGTAAACCCATATAAAGTAAACTCAGCCGACCAAGTCGATCTCAGCCGACCGAACTAATATTGCAGACCCGAAGCCAATTAAGTTTAGTCAGCCGAGCAAGAGAGCAGTCGGATGATAAACTCACACATATGAAAGATCAGCAATACCCAATATATCTCCTTTTAAAACAGTGACAAAAATGTAATATCATCACATTGTACGCTCCCATATAAAAAAGGAGATCATTTTATAAATAAGACATGACGTATTATTGTTCATTATTATTCACTTCTCTCTCTGTCTCTCTCTCTCCTACTATGCTTTATTCTGTGAGTGTGATTCACAAACAAATCAAGATTCAACATCCTAAAAGATGGGGTAAGCGCAAATCAAGCCACAAATAAAAAGATGAGCAGCCTAAGCAGAAGAAATGCCCAAGAAAGACACTACCAACACGGAGTGCACCAAAGAGTTTGTAACTCAAAAGTTTCAGGAGTTGAATGATGAAATGTAGGATGTCATTCGAGATGCATTGGGTTGAGGAAGAGAGCAACACTCTCGAGAGGAAGGTTCGACCCCACGGCCAAAAAGTCCACCTGGCCCTAGAAAGAATGGTGGCTCCCAGTACTTTGATAGTGTTGCGTCAGCACCAATTGACCGACATCAATTCGGTCGTATTGAGGCACACACTCTAAGGTCGCTCAAGTGCGAATCAAGATCCCTGCATTGGAGTTCTACAAGGGTTAGATCAATCCAACTGACCGCATACCCTCGTTTGAGTCGACTTTGTGCTTACTGATGATCACCGATGCACCAAAACGTTGGCTCTTCTTTACACACTGAGGAAGTCAACCCTTGGATGGTTCAATGAATTTCCGCCAAAAGTAATTGCAACACTGAGGAAGTCAACCCTCGGATGGTTCAATGAATTTCCGCCAAAAGTAATTGCATAATTCGTTGATATCAAAAAAAAGTTTGTGGCACAGTTTGTTAGCGCCTAGAGGCCCCAAAAAACCTTAAATGCCCTCTTGCAGATTCGTCAAGAATAGAGCGAGAGCCTTCGCTTGTTTATCACATGCTTCCAAAAGATGTCGGAAATACAGGATCTAAAGCCTGTAATCGATCATGTAGTCCTAGCTCAGAGGTTGAAGGAAAGACCATTTTGGTACGTGTTGGGTCTGCAACAACCGAAGACATTAACTTAGTTGTTAAAGCTGGCCAATAACCACATATCGATCAGGGAGTATGATTCCAATCATGTTTCCTCCATAATAGAGTCCTCCACCCGGCGCCCACAGAAAAGGGCCCCCCAAGGAGAATGGTAGAGGCCAAGACTTAATTTGTGTCCCTCCGCCCATCCTCACTATAAAGACGCTTGGCCACCCCGAGACCAAATAGCAACCAACAAAACATATCACAGAGGGAGTCAGGCCCAGTTCCCTGACCAATAGTCAGATCGATACAATGTGCACCCGCTGCCTAACACGAAGTACTCAAGGCAACTCCGTTGTGAGTTTTGATAGCCGAGATAATGAAGGCCATTCAAAATAAAGATTAATTTAAGAGAGCTTCCCGATGAAGACCGAAGGCTACCTCTAGGACACCAAGAATTATTGTGCCTATCATCGAGACGATGGGCAGGATAGATTAATGTCGACATCTCTTAGGCCTGATCAAAGCTGATCAAGACGAGGAACTAAAAGAGTTTGTAGTGCCAAAAGCAACAAGCCAGCAGTAAGGTAAGGCTCCAGTAGAAGAAATATCAAATGAGTCGGTCCGAGCCCACGCAATCCACATCGTTGGCATACTTCTCACCATCTTTGGGGTTGATGGATAATCATCCAGCCAAACCAGCCTGAAGAGGCTTTGGTCGGGAGAACTATGTACAGTCGCTCTTATGCCAAAGTGCAGCTCACATCCCCCCCATCGCCTTCACCAACTAAGATTTGCGCTCCATGGATAATCCTTACAACGATGCTATCGAAGTCACTACATTAATTGGCAACTAACAGATTGGTAGCACCCTTATCTACACTGGCAGCTCCGTGAACATCATGCTCAAGTCAGTGTTCAATAAAATGAGGGCAACGACCGTCTAACAACAATTGCAGACTTGCACTATAGATTCTTTAGCAAGAGAAAGAAAGCGTTGGGAACCATGGCATTGTCAATCACTTAGAGAGAACATGAGATGCAGTTCCTCAACATAACAGATTTCGACTCGCCACCCACATACAACGCTATCTTCGGTTGTCATCTGCTCAACTCTTTCAAGCTCGTCTTATCAACCTATTACTGGTTGTGAAGTCACCGGGTAATGGGGAGGTAATCACTGTCCAAGGCGATTTGCAGTGGTCTCACACTTGTTACCTCCGAGCTGTCAGAAGCATCAAGAAGGAACCTCTCAAGCTCGAAAATCTACAAAGAGGTCTCAAGATCAAAGAGACCATCCATCGAATCTCAACGATCAAGGGCATCACAAGTAATTTTTTTTATGATAAATGAAGTTTTTGATGCAGGGTGCAAAGATGTGTTGATCAATACCACCCTCTGGAACCACCGAAAATTTTTTGCTCATTATGTCGCTGAGATGACAGGGATACTGATCAATGTCGGTTTTTCCACTGCCTGAACACCAATCCAATGGCCTGACCGATGAAGCACAAGATGAGAACATAGGCCGTCACTTTGGACGAGCCGGACTAAGAGGAGATTTAAAAGCTACTGGAGGTTAGCTACGTCCGAGAGGTCTAGTATCTAAAGTGGGTGTCCAACGTTGACATGCTACAGAAGTTGAACAGTATGAGGTGGATGTGCAAGGACTTCACCAACTTGAACACCGCCTACCTGAAGGACAACTACCCCCTGCCTTGGATCGAAGCTCTTGTGGATGCGGCAATCAGCCACTCCATAATGATCTTTCTCGAAGCATTCTTCGGCTGCTGCCATATCAAAATGCACCTAGCCACATTTATCACTAGTACGGGAGTGTACTATTATGATGCAATGCTCTTCAGGCTAAAAAAAGTTGGCAATACCTATCAGCAAATGATGAATGTAATTGTTGCAAAATAAAAAAAAATCGTTGAAGTGTATACGAATGATGTTCTAGTATAAAACAAAATGTCAGAGCTACACATAAAAGAACTAAAAGAAACATTTGAATTCCTTAGAAAACTTAATATAAAGCTCAAGCGCACCTTTAGGGCATCTACAGGCAAATTCTTAGGCTACTTCCTACCTCGGAGTGAATAAAGGCTAACCCAGAAGAAGTATAGGTGTTGATCAATATCTCGTCCACACGAAACACCAAAAAAGCCCAAAAATAGATGGGTCGAATTGCATGCCTAAGCTTATTCATCTCAAAACCGAGCGATAAATGTGTGCCTTTTTCAAAGCCTTGAGGCGAGCTAAGAACATCTGAACGGATGAATGTGAATAGGCATTCAGAAAGCTAAGACTCCCTAGCATCACCACCGCTCCTTGAAAACCCATAGTTGAACAAAGAACTCTCCATGTACTTGGGCATCGAGCTGGTAGCCATCAGCTCGGTTTTAGTACGAGAGGAGCTTGAGAAGCGGTTCAAGTTTTTCTACGTCAGCTAAGTCCTTTGAGGCAGCAAAATCAGGTATCTGATTATGGAAAAACCAACATTTATACTCGTTATTTCTACGTGCAAGCTTCTTTCGTATTTTCAAATGCATCTGGTCAGGACAATCACCAACCACCCGCTCAAATTTATCCTCACCAAGCCAAAGCACTCCGGCCCGACTTATAAAATGGAGTGGTGGAA